ACTGGCATGATGGCCACCTTTGAGACCGCTCTGCGGAAATTCTCCTCGACCTACAGTGGATTTTCCACTTTTAACGATCAATTGCACATGTTTGCATATTCGTCTGTGTTGCGCTATGCGCCAATCATTCAACGACCATCTATGGTCTCCAAGCCAACACCGTTCTACCCAATTACTCCAGACTCTGTCTTGATGAGTGTAGCCGAGGCTATGCTTGGTTCACACACTTCCACAACTGTCTATGACACCACTACTGTTCCAACCGACTGCCTAACCAGCCTCGTGGCTGACTCCAAGCACTCTGTAGCTAACCTTGCGCGCCTATGGCACCGCCGTCTCGGCCATCCAGGCGTTGATGCCTTCAACCAAATGACAAAGACAAACCCCGAGCTTATGCTCTTCAAGGCCAAGCACCTTCGTGGTCAATTACGTGAGACTTGTGCTTATGCCAAGTCCAAACGCAGTCCTTTTGACTCATCTGCGGTCTTCCGCGCAACCTCCTACCTAGCCCTTGTACACTCTGATGTTTGGAGCCCAAGCCCGATTTTGTCGGCGGGTGGCGCTGCCTATTTTGCCGTCTTTATCGACGATTACTCCTGCTTTATGTGGACCTACGCCATGCGTTTTCGCAAAGATCTCTATGAGACCTACGAACTATTTCATACGGACGCCATGTCCCTTTTTAAACATGATGTTTGTGAGCTGTGCCACTCATCACCCATGGACATCGGCACTCTTCAAAGCGACAACGCCAAAGAGTACGAGAAACTCGGGCGCATTATCAAGCCCAAGTACAACACTCGGGTGACATTCTCCAACGCCTACTCCCCCCAGCAAAACGCTGTTGCCGAACGCCGTATCGGCATTGTTGTGCAAAAGATGCGAGCTATGCTCATTGAAGGGGCTCTGCCCAAGTTCCTATGGGCTCTTGCCCTTAATTATGCCTCATGGCTCATCAACATCTCTCCTTCGGCATCCAACAAAGGTGTTTCACCCTACCACTTCGTCTTTAAACGACACTCATCTTTGGGTCACATCAAAACCTTTTTGGTTGCACCGCGTTTGTGCACATTCAACGTGCCGCGCAATCATCCAAGTTCGATCCCCGTGCCGTCAAGGCCATGTTTGTGGGTCTCCCACACGATCGCAAGGGTTATACTCTCATGCATTTGCACTCTCATTTATTGATTTATTCTCGAGACGTCACCTTCTAGGAGTCCGAATTCCCAGCCATCAACTCTGTTGCTGCTGCTGCGGCGTATCGCCAAAAATCCGCTACCGATCCCAACTTCATTCCAACCTTGGAACCCAACGCACCATTGCCACCACTACACTCCATCATTACCAACAGGCCTAGTGCCTTACTCTATGACAAGCCATTGGCTTCGTCGCCACCCGTTCTTTCTACAGAATCCCCGTCGTCTCGACCTATTACAGCACTTTCTGTGCAACTACCCAAACGAATTCGAGATGTCTTTTCGGCATTTTCGTTGACCAGCCCGGTCTTTGACCCAACTGCTACTCCTTTACGACGATCCAATGGTCACAACCAGTCTGCCTTTTCGGCCCACCCATCAACAGCCTTGTCGGCTAAGCCATCAATGGCCAAAACAACACTTGACTTTATTAGTCATTATTCAAGTTGCCTCCTCATGGACACAACTCCTTTGGAGTCACTTGACACCTACCACAACCACATGCACCATGCACTCGTGCTTGCGCCCTCCTTATCATCTTCGAGCTCTGCTCCTACTTTGGCTCCTATGGAACCATTGTTCGTCTAGGCTTTGCTTGCAGACCGTGCAAACAACAACGACCCCAAAGACTGGCGTGATGCCATGTCCCGTCCCGACCACGACAAATGGCTTATAGCCGCCAAGTTCGAATACGAGTCTTTACTCTCTAACGGCACTTATGTGCTCGTCAAACGTCGTCATGATGAAACGGTTCTACCGTGCCGCTGGGTCTTTCGACTCAAAGCCGATGGCACTTACAAGGCCCGACTTGTCGTCAAAGGGTTTATGCAACAAAAAGACATCGACTGCACGGACATTTTTGCTCCTGTTGTTCGACTTGAAGTCCTACGCTTCCTATTTGCCTTAGTGGCCATCCATGATTTGGAATGCGAACATCGTTAGTCTCTATGTAGACGATCTTTTGATCATTACTCCTACCAAGGCTCTTGCTGCCGCTCTCAAGGAGTCGCTATCACTACGCTTCCAGATGAAGGACTTAGGTCCTGTTAGAGATATTCTCGGCTGGGAAATCGTCCGTGACCGTTCCAAAGGAACTCTGTTCATTCATCAATCACGTTACTGTTCTACAGTACTTGATCGCTTTGACATGTCAACGTCCAAGCCCGTCGCCACTCCTTTAGAGTGCACCACGCCTTTATCCAAGGCTCAGTGTGCTAGTTCACCTGAAGATATTGCATTTATGCAAACCAAACCGTATCGATCAATAGTTGGCAGTATTATGTACTTAGCCATGGGCTCTCGCCCAGACTTGGCTTATGCCCTACAACAACTCTCGCAGTTTCTGCACAACCCGGGTCATGCCCGTTGGCGTGCTGCCAAACGCGTTCTACGCTACCTCCAAGGCACCTCCAATCTTGGACTCATGTTAGGTGGCCGAGACTATGTCTCCAAGCCATTTCTATCCGCTTATGTGGATGCAAACTATGCTATGTGCCCCGATACTCGACGCTGTGTCAGTGGATTTTTTATCCTTATTTCATGGCTTTCGAAGAAACAAGGTATCGTGACTCTGTCAACGACCGATCCGATGCCGAGTTTGTGGCTCTTGCCCTTTGCATTCAAGAATGTTTATACGTTCGCCAACTCGCTGCCGAACTACATCACACTAGTGATCAACCGATTTCGGTTCATGAGGACAATCAGTCTGCTATCAGCATCGCCCAAAAATGCTGAGCATCATGGGCGCTCCAAGCACATTGATGTGCGTTTTATGTTTGTTTGGGATCTCGTTGAGAACAAGGAGTTTGTGCTCCATTATTGTCCTACCAAAGAACAACTTGCGGACTTATTTACGAAGGCGCAACCTGCGTTTTGCAGGTTCTGCCTCGCTCTGCGACTCTATGCCCTTGGTGACTACCTTTGTGGCCGTGTACCCGAGTGACCCTTGCCTATGGCATTGTGTTTACTTTATTTTTAAACCTTTATGGTTATTATTGATATTTATCATGCATTATTTGCACCTGCTTCTAAGCACAAACTTTTCATTCACCGCCTTCATTTTCGCCCTCGACCATGTGGCGACTTGTGCACTCTATGTCTGCTCGTGCCGTTTTGAAGTCGGCGGTCCCGTCTGGCCCGCGGCGCTGCTCCAGGATCGGCCGTACGAGTGGCGTCATGGTTTGTGCAAGTTTCTACATGGTGCTCCCACGCCCCCGTCCATCTTACTTGCACTTCATGGGTTTATACCACTACTCTCTGAGTCTTACTTGTGCTTTTGCTTCTGGCAATTTTACTTGGGTGTACCCTTACTCTCTGAGTATTACTTAGTACTTTTGCTTCTGGCAATTTTACTTGGGTTTTTACCCGCTATTTTTAGCCACACTGTCTTATTCTTCGTTGCATATATGCACTTTATGGTATTTACTTTGAGCACCCTTGCTCTTTGAGCATTCTTGCATTTATGCATTACCTTAGGTTTTTGCCTTACTCTATGAGTAACCATGCACTTATGTGCTCAACACTATTTTTTGTGTGTTCCTGTCCTACTTCGCCTCTGTTCTCAGGGTGGCTTTTGTAGTGACATGCCTTTGGCAAATTTTTCGCTATGCCCTTTTTGCCTTTGGCATTGCCTCTCTTTGAGAACTTCGTCTCGAAGGCCTTCAGTAGTCCGTTGCCCAGTGTGGTGGCTGTCAAGAAGGGCACTTTGGCTGTTCTTGCTTTGGCCTTTTTCGCCGGTGTTCTTTCTCTGTAGAAGCGGACTGTTTATGCCCAATCATAGGTCAGCTAAACAGTCCGTTAACGTTCATCTTTGGTTTTGCCTTCGACCACTCAAGTGTTCTTCGTCGTCGTTCCTCCCCAGTGCTACCCCTTTATCGTCCCTCTTGACACAAATGATCCATGTGGTGAACTTCAAAGCACTCACTCAACGACAGACATGGACCGTACTTCGAAGTACATGTATGATCAAAACATCTGGTTTACTGTTAACAATTGTATTTATGACCATATGAACACGAGTACTGACAAACGCTGAAAAACGTTCAATAAATCTGGATACCGTTCAACCAAGACTGAAACCCTTCCAACTTATAAACTCTAGTTAGATGATGCATGTTTTTTGTATTCTGACCACCTCGACCCCGGGGATTTAGCATTATACTACTGTATGTGCACGCGGGGGTAGGACGAATCCCTGGGTTACAGGGTTACGGGAAGAAAATTTGCTTGAACTTGGCTGAACGGTATCCAGATTTCTTGAACGTTTTCCCATAGTTTCCGAGTCTACTGTGTGTGTGTAGTAAGCTTACATGCCGATTTCGTGAGGCATGTGCTTTGATGGGTTCATTGGCCAAAGATATAATTATAAATGGGTACAATATGTCGCAAATCCGAAACGATGAAAATATTTTGCCACGCCTGATTCCGTCGGCAAGACCCCTCGACCAAGCTTCAAGGCTGGGACTCCCCCCCTTGCAGATACGACAAGTGCCGGAATACTTTGACATAATTACTTAGTACCATAGGGTGGGCTAAGAAGAGACTGCACCGTAAGACGAGGTCATGATACAGGTCCGCGGAGGCAGTGCCGGCGTTGGGCGTGGTAGGTGGTTAAGACTTGGAAATGCGCCTGCAGAAGGTAAGGGAAGGAAGCCGACGGCGGGATATGGCTGGTGTTGTCGTGTAGCGTTGCGCAGCGGTCGTTCCACAGGGTATGAGTGTGAGAGTTCGGATGAGCTGCCACGCTTGATGGGCCAGGTTGTCTTGGGCGGTGCAATGGGACGTCCAGTTTGGTGAATGGAGTAGTCATGGTGCAGCCGGGGGCTGAGTCCCATGGAGGAGGGAGGTCTGTAGGTCGTCTGTGTTGGGGGGGGTGGCGTGGTCGAACCAGATGCGGAGGGTGGTGGTCCAGAGGTAGCATGCCCGACCACAGAGCCAGAAAGTGTGTGAGGGACTATCGGCCGCGTCGCAGAACGGGCAGTGAGGTGGGGCGGCAGTGGTCCTGAAGGGGAAGGCTTGGTGGAACCTCCTGTACATGAACCATTGGAGATTTCCCGGTAGAGTGGTCGATTTCCACTCTCAGGTCCACTGTGTAGGGCCTGTGGAGTTGTCGAGGTCCGTGGGCAAATTTGTGTGATATGGGTGCTTGAGGCAGGAGGGTGGCCAGCACAGCGGTGCTGAGCTGGGCGACGAATGGTGGAGGGCGGCGTAGGGAAGTCTTTGCTGGTGGGGAGGGGAACCAGATGCGGCAAGCTGGTACAGCGTGAGGTTGATGTGGGAGTCCTAGGCTTAGGGTGATGAGATACAGTGATTGGAGGTGGGATTCTTGTTGAGGGGTGGGGCGCCTGTGTGGCATGAACGCCCATTGGGGGCCAAGGTGGGCGTCCTGAAAGGCGTCGGCGAAGGAATCGTACGGGTGTGAACGGAGATAGCGGCCGTGGTGATCCAGAATCCAAGAGTTATTGGAGAGGGATGTGTGCCAGAGATGGCGTCACCAGGTGGGTGGCGTAGAGGTGGTGAGGGCCGCCTGAAGTCGAGGGCTTTGCTTGCCAGCGCATAGCTCAGGCCGATGGAGTCAGAGGCGCGTGTTGGCGGGATGTGACGAGCCGTGGGGTGTAGTACATATCGAGTGTTACGCGGGAGCCGGAGGCTGCTAAGAGCGATGGAGTGCGCCCATGTGTCTGGACTGCTGAGTAGGCGGACTATTCGACGTATGGCATGTTGTTGGACAAGCCGCGAAAAATCGGGGAGTGCCCAGCCGTCGTGAGAGCGTGCGCGTTGGAGGTGTGCTCGGGGGACGTATGACGGGAGACGGCCTGGATTGGGCGTGGTGGATCCCCACCACCAGAAACGATAGGAGAGCTGTTCGAAGCGGGCGGTCTAAGATGGGGAGGGGGGAATGTGTGATGCCAGAAAGGCGAATTTCGACTGGACGATGGTTTTGAGGACGAGGGCTCGGGCCGGCTGGTGGTGGGTCTTGCTACTTGCCGTCTGGAGGCGGGTGACCGTGGAGCGGTAGCAAGCGTCCCAGTTGGCGTCTGTGAGGGATCCCAAGCCGACTTGGATGCCCAGGTATCGACGGCGGATCGAGCCAGTGATGAAAGGGATGCTCTGGACCGAGTCCGGTGTGTGGCTGGAGTTCAGACAGATCCCAAAGGACTTTTGGAGTTGGATTTGTAGGCCTGACATGTCGCCAAAGGAGCGTAGGAGGTCTAAGGCCCATGGGAGGGAGCGTAGGTGCCGTAAGAAGATGGCCGTGTCGTCTACATGTGCATTGCAGAGCAGTGGAAGGGTGGCAGAGCCGTGGGGGAAGAGCAGGCCGTGGTCATGCGCTTGTGTCTCAGGGTAGCGAGTAAGGGTTCCATAGCGATGATAAAGAGGAAGGGTGCTAGAGGACAGCCTTGGCGGATGGCGGCTGTTTGTAGGACGGTGTGGGAGCGGGCACCGTTAACGACAAAGTGCATGGAAGTGGTGGTGTGGAGGCGGTCCAAGAGGCCGACATAGGCGGGCGGGAAACCCATCGCGTCCATTGTACAGAAGAGGTGGGCGCGCTCCATACTATCGTAAGCTTTCTTGATGTCGAGTCAGATGATGGCTGAGACTTCGAGCGGGGTGAGGGGGTCCGATGATTGGAAGGCCAAAGCCCGTTGAAAGAGGCCTATACTATCATCCAGCGTGCATCCTTAAACAAAACCTTGTTGTTGGGAGCCGATGACGACCGCCAGGAGGGGTGGTAGACGGATGGCTAGAATCTGAGCAAATATTTTGTACGTAGAGTTGAGAAGCGAGATTGGTCGATAGCCCAGAGCGTTGGTGCTGTTGCCCTTTTTCTTGAGGGGAGCACGTCCGCTACACAGAAACTAGCAGGAGGGACCGCGCCTTGAAGTATGTGGGTATACAGGCGCAGGAGCAGCGGGGAGAGGGCGGCGCTGAAATGATGATAGAACTTGGTGGGTATTCCGTCGGGGCCCGGGGCCTTTCCGCCGTGCAGCTTTTTTAAGGCCATCGAGAGGTCATAGGGGGTGCAGGGGGCAAGGAGGTGGGCGCTGTGATATGGGGTGAGCCACCCTTGTATCGAACGGAGGAAGAAGTCGTGATTGGTGCGGACGTATTTTATCCCGTGAGAGAGAGAGGGGTGGAGGCTGGAGAGGGTGGCTCGCCACCCATTAGCCATATTGTTGACTGGGGTGTCCGGTAGGTACCAGTCGGGAGGTGAGATGGAGGGGAGCTCCGATTTATCCCATCGGTTGGTGAAACGGCGGAAAAAGGCTGCGGAGGGGGTCATACCCTCAATCATGGAGCGGCCGTGGCGGTAGCGATTGATTTCGGCGAGTTGGTTGGCGTAGGCCTCGATCGTCTCCAGCCGTTGGGAAGGGGTATCGATGGGCAGGGGTGTCTGTCTTGGGGGTGTTTCTGCGAGTTGTAGTTGGCGGAGGAGTCCTTGAAGGGAGTCAATGAAGTCATCCCAGCGGGCACAGATGTCTGCCGGTGGAACGGGGTCGGCGGACGCGGCGTGGAGGAAGTGGAGAATGTGTTGTTGTAGGCGTAGGGGTTGTGCCGAGCGAATGGGGTACAACTGGTGGCGGGCGTTGCGGCTCCGATGGGTGGGGGAGCAACGTAAACGCAGACGGCGTTGTGATCGCTGCGTTGGCCTGGTGGAGAGATACAATGGTTGCGGACGAGGTGGCGAAGGTCAGAAGTGACATATATGCGATCGAGGCGGGAGCTGGGCTTGGATTATGGCCGTATACACGTGTATGTGCGGGTGCGGAAGATGGTGATGGCTTGAGTAGTGGAGGGGGGCGAGCGGGTTTGTCTAAGGCTGTCGTGAAGAGTCCAAAGGGAGAGTCAATCTTCCATGGCGGCGCTGTCAGGGTGGGGCTGCGTGGAGGGCAGGTGGGGGTACGATCGAGGTGGGGTGAGGAAACACAGTTGAAATCACCCGCGATGATCATGGGGAGCTGTGGGGGGGTGTCCGGGTTAGGCGGGTGAAGAAGGCTGTGCGCGCGGTAGCGCTATCGCTGGGGGCGTAGACGCAGGCGACAGCAACGTGTTGTCGATTGAAATATGAGGAAGCGGCCTGGGGCGACGTCAGGGGTAACAGTAGAGACGTTGAGTTTGGAGAAGGGGTTGAGAAGGACACCCCACCGGCTCGTGCGGAGGACGTGAACCAGAAGGACGTGGGGAATGCAGGGGTCGTGAGGGTCGTGAGGCCCCACATATGTTCCAGAGATTGGCGTGGGAGGTGACTTGAGCCGGGGATCCCACGTGGGTCTCTTGCAGGCAGATGATGTCGAGTCGTTCGTGTGTGAGGCCGTCTTTCCAGCTGGCCATCCACGCGCGGACAGAATCTACACGGAAACCGTCCACATTCTGGGTGAGAATGCGGAAAGCGGTGATGGCGAGAGGTGGCCGGGGTTGGGGGTCGGGGGATGCGAAGGTAGGGGAGGGGGGCCTGGGGGTTGGTCAGGGTAACTTGACTGGTGTGATACATAAACATAAAATGGTGGTGGGCGGGAAAGAGGAGGGGGCGTGAGCCTACTCCCTGTGTCCCAAGGAGGAATAGCCCCACGCGATGGCATTGCGTTTGACCCATGGCCAGAACTGGGGCCACTTTCCCCAGGATAGGTTGTCGACCAGATCGAGAAGGCCATCGGTGTGCGCCAGTTCAATGAGGTCGATGAGGGAGTACGTGTCGGGGAGGTCTGTTTCCTCTAGGCCTCCCATGTCCAGGAGGCCAAATAGCCAACCACGTATTTTTTAGTTGGGTCAAATCAGTATGGAATGCTGGTTTGTACAGTTTGGAGTAGGTTGCGGCAGATTGGAGCAGGGTGGACCATGTGTGGACGTCTAACGCAATGTGGTGAGCCTCTGTCATTGTCCCAGCATCAGAGCTGGCCCAGCGCCATGCTTGTAACGCGTCTTTTTTATCCTGCGTCGGGGCGAGCTTGGTAGCGGCCGCGATGGCGTGGTAGCAGCATTCTAGGAGCATATGGTGTCCCCATTCGAGGACCGCGGGGGTGGTGCAGCGGCTGAGGATTATCTCCGGTGAGCCAAGTTGCCAAAGCATCTCCCGCGCCATGCGGGGAAGTCCGACATGAAGGGTTCAATATGTGAGGTGGTGAGAACAGGAGTTGTGTAGACAGTGCCCTGAAATTCGCCTTCCTTTTCTCGCATCCAGTTGGTAATGCGCTTGGCCATGGCCACTGGAATGTTCGACTCGTGTGAAATATGCGGAGATGTAGTCTGTGAGGGTGCTTTGTGACAGTTTCGTGGCGTTGGCGAGCCGTTCGGCCCACCGCGTGTGGTAAAGGAGTTGGAGGGCCTCGTGCTCTATGCGATTGTTTGAGGGCCAGTAGTTCTTGCGCAACGGTCACGGAATGGAAAGAGGAGTGAGCCCAGACGTGGTGCCATTTTGGCGCAGTAAAGAGCTTGTATGCATCATTGGCCTTTCGGAGGGACGGTACCGGCGTACCAGTACTGTGGGCCAGAGACGGCGTCGAGTGTGCCTGTGCGGTGGTATTCTACCCGGAGAGGTTCGGGTACCCCAAGAAGTTGGTTTAGCGCCGAGTCGCCGGAGAGGTCAATGACTGGAGGGGGAGGATGCATGGTGGTGGGAACGGCCGGTGGGGTGCTAAGTCCCCGAGGCGGCGATGGGGTGGTACAGGCGTGGCCGTTCGGTCCCTCCATCTGGACGTCTATCTGAAGGTGTGCCGTTGTGTTGGGGTGTGGTGGCGGTGCGTGGTCCTCCATGTCGGAATCTGCGATGGGTTCGTTGGCGTCACTTGGCTACAGCGTGGTTAGCGTGGTGTCCATGTCGACGTCCATCGTGGAGTGAAGCGGGGCTGGTGTATTAAAGGTGACCGGAGTGGGGGTGTGGTGGTCTAGGTGCTGAGGGTGAGGTTCCCCGAGGCTGTGGATACCTAGTTCTTGAAGGGTGGGGCTAGGATCGAGGTGCCGCGGGGGCACGACTGCTGAGTCGAAAGGCGTGGAAGTTGGAGATGGAATAGGGTGGGTTGTTCCATCCGCAGCGATGCGCATTGGTCCATCATGTCCCAATCTGATTGGGAGGAACTGTTGTCGCCAGGTGCGTCGGATGGCTGAAAAGGGAGAAGAGTGGGGCTGTGGCGTCGGTGCGATCACCGAGAGACACAGGACCCCTGCCACTGCCACCAGTGTGGAGCGTCGCGGGTTGGTTTGGTGGTGTCTGCAGCGTAGATGGTGTACCGAGCCTACTGCCTGAGGAGGAGGTAGGTCGCGGTTGCAGGGAGGTTTGGGTAGCCGCGGTGTCCATGTCGACCTTAGAGGAGGTGGTAGGGGAGGAGGACCGCAGGCAGGGGTTGAGGCGGTCGGTGTCGGCGTCTTGTACGTCGTACGTGTGTAAGCCGGTGGTGAGAGAGGAGGACCATGGTCTGGGGGAGAGACGGACGTCCGCAGCCCCGTGATCTGTCGGCGAGTTGATGCGGGAGGAGGCCCACTGCCGTGGAGAGAGATGGACATCCCCCTCGTCGAGGTCGTCCGGGTCCATGTCGACCTGGGTGGTCTCGAAGGTACGTGTCGTAGGAGCGGAGGTGTTGGTGGTAGTGTGGCGGGGGGAAGTTGTCGTCGGCTCTGCTGCCTTGGGAAGGCGTTGTGCGTGGACGTGATCGGTTTGAATCCTGCTGTCAGTGACGGTGCGTTCCGTGCTGGTGCCGTAGTCGACTAACATGCCTGCCTGAGTCCCTGTCTCATGCGTAATTGCCATTGGGGTGGTTTGAGATTCCGCTGTGCGTGGGGGAACGAACTTTCGTGATTTCGTGCGCCACATGGCAAAGAAGGGGTTTTCGGCCACGGTTTGACCGGCGATATTGGCCCACAGCTCTGTGGGTAGGGTGACTACCCCTGCTTGGTTGATCGTGAGCCTGGTGCATATTTCAACCTGATGGTCAAGGGAGGTGCACTTGCGGCATGGCATGTTGTTGTGGTCTTGGAAGTGAAACACGCCGATGTTGGTTGATCCGATGGCGATGCGGGCCTTGTTGGCGATGCGGGCCTTGTTGGCAAGGCAAGCGGGGCGGAGCTCGCTGTCTGTGACAACGAGAAAGCTGTTCATGTCAAGCTCACCGCTTCCTGCATTTTGAGCACGTTCAAGGCTGAGGACGTGAGCATTTTCCATATAGCTATGGCTGGGATGTACATGGGGACTTGGAGGAGCCGGAAGCTGAACGTCATGTTACGTTGCGCGTCCACCGTGGGTGCGACGGCGTGGGGGTCGTCGGGATGGGCGTAGTGGCGAAGCACCGCCGGTTTGGACAGGAAAGGGATGGCTCGGTCACACAAGTGTGCGGTTTTGCTCTTGGAATTGAATTGGATGATGAGTTTCCGCCCGTGTGGGTGGACGTAGCATGCCAGAAGGTCTTGGCGGAAGGTGTTGCAGACTTGCATCTCAACGACATTTTGCTGCGGGTTGAGTGGGAAGAAGAGCCGGGCCAGGTATGGGCTCGGCATTTCGTTGGAGAGCTTCATGGCGATCTTCAGTGGTATCTGGAGGAAGCCGTATTGGAGTCGCATTTGGTCACTAAAGAGTGCCATTTCATTTGGGGTGAGAATTTCTTTCAGAAATTTGGGTGGTTGGTCGAGGGCGGGGCTGCCATTCAGGATGGAGTCCAGAATGTAGGTTTCGTATGGTGTGGGTGCGCGGCTGGGGGATTTTATCGCAACCTTTGGCTTCTTGCAGTATGCATGTGCTTCCATCCAGGTGGGATCGGTTGGGGTTTCCCTGTTTTGTCTCCTGCTTCTTCTTGGCTTTCGGCCACGGGACCTTCGTCAAGGCAGCAAAAATACACACTGACATTAGTGAGGTTAAACACGCCGCGAGGCGCCTACTGACTACCATTCACTAAAGTACTCAGTACCTTCACTAAGGTATCGGAACCATTGACACGCCACACACACAGAATGTGTATGTTTGCAATGGGTCAAACTAACGCGCGACCCAATTGCTCTGCACGCTGCAAAACACTTCCCCTCCTACGGAAAGTCCAGTGTCTTGATGAGGACGGCCACGGCAGGGTCTTCCTTGTTCGCCGCCGCCCTCTTGCGAAATAAGACTGGAATGTCGTCCAGCAAATTCGCCGCAGGTTCCCAGGACGATTCTTCATCGTCAAGTCCAAGCCACTTCACCAAAACTTGGTGTTGGCCATCCATGCAGCGCGCTTCGTCCAGGCGCTCCACATGAAATCCACCATCGCCAAACGCGATCTGCGCCTTGAGCTCTTCGGTCACCTCTCTACCACCTTCGTGGTACATCTTCAATCGGCATGCATGATGGACCGTGACTTCGTACGGTGGCACCAGCTGCTGAGTTTTCATCACATGGTCTGTGATAACTCTGGTCACTTGGCAGGACCGCGCCAATGCAGGGCCAATTTTGTCGGACGGTTGATACCGTCCGACAAAATCGCCGACCGAAAAACCCGCAAACTTGACTTGGGATTTTCGGTCGCGGCGTCCACGTGCTTGCTGACGCAACTTGTCGCTTCGAACCACCACGTTGCGGTGCGTTTCTTCTAGGGCCACTTGGAGGTCCGTCACATGTTTCTGACGGGCGGACAACGACTTGGTCGTCGCTGCGATGCGACGGTGACCGCTGGCTCCTTGGTGAGCGATCACACAAATCCGCTGCTGTAGGTCGACAACACCGTCTGGGATCCAGATTCGACCGTCTAGGACCACGCAAAAATGGGAGTCGTCGACCCAATCCACGCCATTTGGGGGGGTCCCTCCCCCTTCCATGGTTGAACGTTGGATGCCGCTGATCGTTGCGGCTGTCGGCCACTCGAAATCCACTTGTTGAAGGGGCGACACCACATGGATCAACTTGCGAACATTCGCAACTGGTTGATCCGTCGGAGCCGAACCCCATCGGCTCAGGGGGTCGCCCCATACATTCGCGTCCCCCGAGACGCACTCAATGGTGTACGGGAAGGTCAACATCACCAGCGACCATCGCTGCAGCTTGTCGGCCTGGTACTTGGCCATGTTGGCGTTCGAGCCACTTGGGTTGAAGATGTACACCAGGTTGTGGTGATCCGTAAACAGACGGAAACCACCCGGGCGTACGACCAGGTAGTCGAGTCTCTTGCACGACTCGACCACGGCATAGGCCTCCTTCTCCACGATGGGCCAGCGCGCACTCGCGCCAGAAAACGACCCACTGATGAACGCAAGCGGCTGGTGCCGCTGGTCTTCGAGAGGCAAGTCGAGGTCCGCTGGCGGTACTTGTGTGGCGACCGCACCCCAAAACAGGTCACTGGCGTCCGTGAAGACGCAGACCGTCATGTCTTCTCGCGGGTGCGACAGGGGCACCACATGCGCCAACGCGTGTTTCACCTCGTTGCAACACTTGAGATGATCGGACGACCATCCCACGGCAGGGAGTGCAACACGCACTAACGCCGTTTTCTTGCAGCTTCCGGTTGCCTTGGTGGCCACGTCCAGCAGACGTCGCCACCAGCTGATTGTAGCCGGGGATGCTCGCACGCATCCAGTTGGTGACACACACAAACTGCTGGAGGTCGGCCGCGGTCGGCGGCGGTGACAAATCCACAAGTCCTTGAATTCGGCTTGGGGAATGGGTGATTCCATCGACCATAATCACCTTGCCACACCATTCTGCCTCGCGCAGAAAGAAATGACACTTCTTCAGGCTCAACTTGAGTCCGAACTCGGCACAGATGGACAGGACTTGGTCTAACAAGTCGAGCAGCTCGTCTGTCGTCTTGGCGGACCCCAGCAAGTCATCGAGCCAGGCCAACAGGCCTCGAAACAGCAGCTCACCAAACATTTGGTGGACAACCGACTGGTAGTACGCGACAGCGTCCGTCTGTCCCATGAGCACGCGGGTCGGAGTGTACACGCCGAAGGGCGTCACGAACGAGAAGTACTTCTGGCTATCCGCATGCAGCGGTAACTGCCAGTACCCCTTGGTCCAGTTCAACGTGAAGTACATGTTCGTTCCGACCAGACAGACCACCGCGCGGTCCAGGTTTGGCATCGGCCAAGGCATCGGCTCTGTGCAGGCGTTGATTGGCCTACTGTCGATCATCATGCGCAAGTCGCCGACTTCCTTCTTCGGCACGATCCTTGGGGCTGCGGCCCACGTAGCCCGGTTGTTTTGGTATACCATACCATTTGCTTCCAGGGCAGCCACATGGCTGCGCATGTACTCCAGATGCAGCGGCGGGTACCGCCGCATCCCACACTTCACCAGCGTCGCGCCGGGTTTGATCCGAACCTTCAATGGCTCGACCTTGACTGGTGGATCGTCGCCCAAGTTTTCGCGGAAGACATCAATGTGTTTGGCCAATAAGTCGTGCAGCCGCGTCGCTTCAGCGGGCGCAAGCCCGCGCGTCTCCGCCTCGGCTGCCTTGGCCGCCAGAATGGCTTGAACGGCGCCCTGCTTCGTGCGGCGGTGCTTCGCTTCGTCCTCAACGGAGGTTTTGGGGTAAACCTCCGGAGTAGTACACTCCATCCCGTCATCGGGGTCAAGCTCCGGCGGATTCAACTTCTCCGCCATCAGGCGCTTGACATTCGCCATGCCAGACAGTTCATTCGTCGGCACGGACGAGACGTCCCATTCTTCCTTCTTCTTCCTTGCTCCGACAAGGAGGTCTTCCACGCTGAAGCCCAGTAACTCCATGACTGGGTGACTCACGATGAGTTCGGTTGCAGTCGACGCGTCGTCGACCCAGGCCTTCAGACCGCGCAACACTAGCGGTCCACATGTCGTGTCCAGCGTCACGCAGTTGAACTTGACGCTGCGCGTCATCACCACTGGTTTGGCGTCACTGCCATACGGGTACGCCAAACGCTATGGGAGACGGTCCCAACTTTGACACCGGCTGCGTCCAACGAATCCATGACGCCGCGCGTGACAACGGTCACGTCCGAACCAGAGTCCAAGAGCACATCGTCCACGCGGACGATATTCTCCAAGAGCACGCCGCGCTCTGTCTTCTGGCACTGCGGCTGGTTGACCAGCACCTTGATGCCGTCCTTCCAGCGCTTGACTTGCGCTGCCAACAACGTTTCGGCTTCGCCAGGCGCGGTCCTCGGGCACCTCATGTCACTGCACTTCAAGCAGCCCTTCCTGGCAGGGGGCTCAGCATTCTTGGGCACGATCGTTTCGGCCTTTCCGCCGACTCTGCCATTGTTCTTGGCAGCATCTTCCCGGCCGCTGTCACGTCTTGTCATATGAGGCTTGCCGCCTCGTGGAGCTTCTACCGGCTTCGCTGCCGGGGAAGCTTTGGACTTGTCGTCGAGTCCAACGTACAGCTGATCGCCAGCTGCAAATGTTCGTAGCCAGTTAACATAACCAAAAACGTCGCTCTTCAACGCCTTGTTCTGCTGCAACTGCAGCTGCTTTTGAACCTCTGTCTTCTGCGACTCCGGCCTGATCGATTTCGTCATGACTTCGATGACCATCTTGCCTTATTGATCGAGTACCCACTCCTGATGGTCTTGTTCCAACGAGCGCATCAGCTCGTCAAGCATACGACCGATGCGGGACTCTGCGTCCAAGACCTTCGTATCGAAGCGAATCGCTCGCTGCCGACGTTGCTTCAAAACGTCCAGGTCTTGAGGGTCTTCCTCAAACGCTGACTTGAACCACGCGATCCACTCATCGTTCGTGATGGAATGATGCTCGCGGTTGAAGTCGAACAGCGCGATACGGCGCTTCGAGAACGGGTCCATGCAGGCGCTCACGGGCATCGCGGACGGACTTGATCCACTGCACTGCAGAGCATTTATCTGCCCCAGATACTTCTGGTACTCGCGCATAAAAGCGCGTCTTTCGGCCTTGGTCGAGGCCGAAAATGTCGGCGGCTGCAGGAGCGCCGTCGCGTTCCAAACTTGCGGCGCCGTACGGCCGTCACCGCCATCGCTGCCCATCTCCGTATCGTCACGAACGTGGTCGTTGTTGGCTGGCAACGGCACTGAAGCGCCATCGCTTCAGTCGTTGGTGGAGCAGCAGCTGAGACAAACGCTGCGATAGATGGTGTTCCTCGGGTTGTGGCAGGGTTGTAAAACCCACCACGTGGCGGTTGTCACTCGTCGACAGAATGTGTCCAAGTCGGGGGGAGATCAGTAGCTCAACAATAAACTAAAGATATCTTTGTTTTGTCTCCCGCTTCTTCTCGACTTTCGACCACGGGACCTTCATCAGGGCAGCAAATATACACACTGACATTAGTCAGGTTAAACACGCCGCGAGGCGCCTACTGACTACCATTCACTAAAGTACTCAGTACCTCCACTAAGGTATCGGAACCTTTGACACGTCACACACACAGTGTGTGTGTGTTTGCAATGGGTCAAACTAACGCGCGACCCAATTGCTCTGCACGCTGGAGAACAGTCCCGATGTTTGGTCGGCGGGTGGCGCGTGGATTGAGTGCGGGCTGAGTCGCCGAAGGATTTCTTGTTCGAGGAGATTGGGAGGGATCGGCGTCAGTGCTGGTTCGTCGTGTCTCCGTGTCGGGCTGTGCCGTGGGTGGGCGCTTTCGGTTGATGTTAGTGCGTGCTGCCGTTCGCGGGTGGTGTCGCACATTTTCAGGTTTGTTGGACGTTTCTCGAACCTTCGGTCTTTTAGGTCGACGTTCGATAAACGGGTTGGGGTTTGGTGAGTTTATTCCTCGAAGGGAGGGTAGTGGAGGGTCTGCTCGGGTTCCGGCGGACCGCCGCCATTTGATATGGTTTCGCCAGTCATCCAGATAATTATCCGGATGCGTGTCACCACTCAAATTTGGGAATTGTTTTGAAATTTTTTTACTCCAATACTCCAATGGCGTCATCTTCCAAAGACAAGTGGTCGAAGCTAAATTTACGTAAGGAATGTACAACTAACATCAGTACTACCTAAAATCACTACTACCTGATGGTTTCGGTTGATTGGGACCGACACATGAGCTTCCATGTCACAATGAGGTCGAAATCAAGACGTTGAACTTCTCAGCAACTGTTGGTCCCATCAGTTGCTGAGAAGTTCAACGTCTTGACAATCACACGAGTTGACGAGTTGGACCAACACATTTGCCGCACCAAAGCATCAACTGATGTGGTAGCTGCAACGGCAGCAACCACCACGGGGACGTGCGCCATTGATCCAAAAGCCTGGACTTTCACCGACCACGATTTTCAACGACTTCCGCATAACTCTTAACCGGATATGCTTTCGTTCAAGCTGGCATGTATGAAAAAATAAAAGTTAAACAGGTTAAAACGTATTTAGCTTTACCTGTTACCCGTCGAGATGCTCTAATGATCTTCAGTATACAGTCAACTTTACCGTACAATGAAATCAAAGGGTGGTAAAAGGTAAATTACCCGGTACAAGGGTACGGTAACGCAAAGGTAACCAGGACCATTCGGGGTAAGGGTAGGGTAAAGGTAAAAGCAAGATAATTTTTACCTCGTTTAACTTTTACCTTGCCGAGGCCTAATGCTGGCCGGGAATTACGTAATTCACCTTAAGCTTACACTGACAAGAATAATTCCCTCATTAAAACAGTTCCAGTGTTGTTTGACCCGAAATGCTGTTTCACAGTCAATGAGGGAATTATTACATCCGGATACACCTTTTCGCCAGTAGCCCTGTAACCTGGGACCCGTCCTACCCCCGGTGAGTACATACGATGCTAAATCTCCGGCGCTAGTGGTTAGCTATCGCTAACCACTGAGATGCACTTAACCCCTAGTAAGAGGAGAGGTAGTCTGAGTATACAAAGATCCATATAAATCTCATTGAAACATTATTTCGGGTCAAAACAACAGTGGAACTGTTGTAATGAGGGAATTGTACCGCTGACAATGACAAATTCTCGACATCCATGTAACTCACAACTTGGTTCAATGAATTTTGATAGTTGCATAATCGGAAACGTTGAACACATCTTTGGAAGTAGGAGTACTAGTATGATATAAATCAAGCGCTGCCTATTATCATGTCCGTGGCCAACCAGAACCGTCAATTACACCTTGTCAAACTACAGTAGTACATGTAGCGAATACTACAGTACTACTGTACTACACCTTTTTTCTATTGACTTGGGACTTTTTTCAACGTTGTTGGCTTGGCGCTCATTCGAAAGGGCGATGTGTCCATCCATTTGGCCTTGTGGCCAATAGAATTGACACTTAGTGCCGCAACACCCTTTGAAATGTACCATACTACCAATGGAAATGGCTCCACTACCCAACAATATGCCAAGTAGCATTTCGAATCTGCCGTGCTTGAAGTTGAGTTGGATCGAATATGAAATTTTATAATCAAATACGCGACGGCATGAAAAAAGCAGATAAAATCATCGAAACTTGCAGCAAACAGCTACATGTCGACGTCCATGTCTTCCATTCGGTCCGCACGACCGTAGAAGTACTCCAGACGAGGGGATGCGCTTGTATTTCGTGCGTGGTTATGAACATGGCTAGTGTA